ACAAGCTGACTTGGAGGACACATCAGCAGCCACCGTGGAGAAACACACTCAGCATGAGAGTGGGGTTCTGAAAAGAAGTAAGCGCGTGAGAATCCCGTCAACAAAGCTAACTGATTTCGTAGTAGAAACTAAACGATGAGAACGTGGGCAAAGGGGCAAGAACGTGGGGTTCGTGAAGTACCAGATTTCTTAAATAGCATAGCAAGATCTGAATTAATTAAGCAATTGTAATTTGAGTCTTGTTATCTCATCTCCCTGTTTTGTGCTTTCTCATCTCCTTAATTTCTTCTTTCCTTGTTATTGTTCCATTGATTTCCTTTCTTGGTCTTGTTGCACCTTTACTACCTAACCCAAATGTCTCCTCATCCTACCAGAACTCTTCTACGATAGCGACCAATAACAACTGGAATCGTGCTGCTGCGCGCCCCCCATTGAAACGCCTATCACATGCCGAAATTCAGAGTCGTCGTGAGCGTGGACTCTGCTACTATTGTGAAGAAAAATATACAGTCGGACATAAATGCAAATCACCACCCCAGCTGTTACTCCTCACTAATGAGATCGATAGTGAACCAATATTACCGGAGGTGTTCGTCACTGATGATATATTGGCAGAAGAATTACAGTGTTTGGAGGTACAAGAACATTCTGCTATTTCTTATCATGCTTTGGCCGGTGGGCATTCTTCTTCCACACTCCGATTCCTTGGTCATATCAATGGATCCCCGGTTCAGGTCTTGGTGGATGGAGGTAGTGACCATAATTTCATCCAAGCAAGGATGGTAAGTTTCCTGCAGCTTCCAATTGTTTCCATTTCTAGTTTTGCTGTAGTAGTGGGAAATGGCCAACGACTCAGGTGCGAAGGGGTTGTGCGACAAGTTCCCCTCATAATTCAAGAATGTAGGCTCACACTTGACTTGTATGTATTATCATTACATGGGGCTGATGTGGTCCTCGGGGCATCTTGGCTTTCTACGTTAGGAAGGGTGATCACAGATTATGGAGAACGCACATTTGAATTTAGTTACCAGGGAACTACTAATATTTGGAAAGGATTAGAACCAACCAGTGCTAAGCCTATCCAATTGCATAGCCTCCGACGAGACAAAGCAACTGATGCAATCTCGGCATACTATTGTTTGCAAATAGTTTCAACTGTGTCTACTCATGATGAGCAGGTCAATCCGACCCTCCAGGCTATCTTGGAATCTTTTGTTGATGTCTTTCAGAAGCCCCAAGGCCTCCCCCCATCGCGAGTCCTTGATCACGCGATACATTTGGTGCAAGGAACCGATCCAGTGAATGTTAGGCCGTACAGATACCCTTACTTCCAGAAGCAAGTAATGGAAGAAATGGTAACTGAAATGCTCAGAGAAGGGGTGATTAGAGCCAGTACAAGCCCTTTCTCTTCACCGGTGTTGTTAGTCCGAAAAAAAGATGGAACGTGGAGGTTTTGCGTGGACTATAGGGCACTAAATGCAGTCACAATTCGGGACAGATTTCCTATACCAACAGTTGAAGAGTTATTTGATGAGCTTCATGGGGCTCTGTATTTCTCTAAACTCGACTTGTTGGCTGGATACCACCAAATTCGAGTTAGACCGGAAGATGTGGAGAAAACAGTATTTCGAACACATGAAGGACATTACGAGTTCTTGGTAATGCCATTTGGGTTATCTAATGCCCCATCCACTTTTCAAGCGACTATGAATGAGGTGTTTAGGATGTATCTGCGTCGTTTTGTTCTGGTTTTCTTTGATGATATACTGATTTATAGTCCCACTTGGGAAGAACATTTGTTGCACTTGCAAACAGATCTAAATTTGTTACGACAACACCAGCTAGTCGCCAAAAGGAGTAAGTGTCAGTTTGGTCAAACGAGAGTTGATTACCTCGGCCATGTAATTTCTATACAAGGTCTTAGTGTGGATCCATTAAAGATCTCAGCCATACAACAATGGCCTGCGCCTAGAAATGTGAAACAGGTGCGCAGTTTCCTTGGGCTGGCAGGATATTATCGGAGGTTCATCCACCATTATGCCGTAATAGCTGGGGCCCTCACAGATCTACTTCGAATGGTTCCTTTTGCCTGGACAGATGCCACTCAAGCTGCCTTTGACACTCTCAAGAATAAGTTAAGCGCAGCGCCAGTCCTAGCTTTGCCTGATTTCACCGAAGAGTTCCAGCTTGAGACAGATGCTTCAGGCCAGGGCATTGGAGCAGTACTTTCACAAAAAGGGCATCCAGTGGCATATTTTAGTCAAAAGTTGAGTAATAGGATGCAGGAGGCTTCCACCTACCATCGAGAGATGTTTGCAATCACCCAATCGGTTAGCAAATGGCGCCAATACTTGTTGGGTAGGAGGTTCACCATTTACACTGACCAACAGTCACTTAAGAGCTTGACGAACCAAACAATTCAGACCCCTGAACAACAAAAATGGTTAAGTAAGTTGGTTGGCTTTGACTTTCAGATTATATACCGCCCTGGCAAATTGAACCAAGCTGCTGATGTGTCCTCCAAGTCAGCTTGTGGGGTCACAACCATGGTGGACATTTCGCTCACCTCCCTTAATGAATCTATTTTTGCATTCCGCCAACGATTTGATTTCCTCCAGTCATCCCATGTTCTGTCCCATTCAACTCCTCGTCGTATACGGGATTCAGTTTTCCTTCCACGATTTAGTGGTGATAATCCAGCAGTCTGGGTTCTTCAGGCAGAGAAGTATTTCGCATTCCACAACATTTTATCAGAGCATAAATTGTACATGAACATGTTTTAATTGATGAGACTTGCAATAAAGTTAATGTTATGCTTAAGATGTGGAGATGAAGTCAAAAGGGTTTTTGTTGAGTTGGATCAAAACAGAATATGTCGAGTGTAAGTTAAGTGATGTAACGTATACATATGTGAAACTACGGCTTAGTACGTACAGGTCACCCAAAAGAGATGATATTTAAGTATCTTGAGTCTATTATACAAGGAATGAGGAGATTGACGAAGATGCATGTCACTCACCAAATTGGCGCAAGGTGGATGTATTAATGGAGGATTGTATCCAGAAACTTGCGTAATAAGAAGGTGTCACCAAAGCTTAAAAACAAGTTCTACAAAGTGGTAGTTAGACTAACCATGTTTTATATGTTTTATAGGACAGAGAGATTGCCAGTCAAGAACTCTCACATTGAGAAGTTTAAAGTTGCAGAAATAAGGATGTTGTGATGCATGTGTGTGTTATAATGTGGGAGTGACTTAGGGGGAAGAAAAGATGCAAGAAACAAGACAGAGATAGTTCGGACATGTGAATAGGAAATATCCGGATATCCTAGTGCGGAGATGTGAGGGGGTGACTATATATGAATTGTTTAAGGAGAGGTAGTAGCAGACCAAAGAGAAATTGGATAGAGGTGATTAGATAAGTCATGAAACGGTTTCAAATTAGGTAAACATGAGCTTCGATTGAAGGTTGTGGAGAACACAAACTAAGGTAAAAGGTCAATAGCTAGAAGTTAAGGGTGTTGTCTAGTCATTTGTCCATACTCGTATTTGTAGTTTATTGCTCTTGTAGTTTTTGGTCCTTCGATTTATGTTATTATTTATCGTCTTGTACTTCGACTATCATAATATTATTATTCTGTAGTTAATGTATTATTACCTTTGTACTCCTTTTTTCTGGACTGCTTCGAACATTTTTTTCTTGATCTGATAGTCTATCAGAAACAATCTCTCTACCTCGGATACTTATGAAGTAGATAAGATATGCAGACATTAGTTTGTGGGATTATATTGAATATATTGTTATTGTTGTTATTATAAGTACCAATTGATAATATTGGTAAATACGGTAACTCACATACTATTATAGATTAAAGTATAGTTAGTGTGGAAAATATTTATACTACTAGCTTATATTACTTTATTCATATCATTGTTAATTATGTTTCGGATTGGGACATATCATTATAAGTTATCTACAAACATATCATTATAAATCGTCTACACCTACAAATTAATTAATCATTATAAATCGTCTACACCTACAAATTAATTAACATTCTTAGGTTGGGAAAATTATTATAATTCGTCCGTGTCTATGAATTACTTGACATTTTTCACAAAATTTTACTAATGAAAGGTCACGTTTTCATATTTGTCATATAGTATCCCCTAAGAATAATAAACAGATAATATTTGTGAAATGCACAAAATTATATCATATTAATCTTACAAGGAGATAGTGATTTCAGCAAAAAAATTACCATTAATATGTATTTTTGTATGAATAAATGTTGAGAGAAGACAAGAGTAAGTATAATTAATTAATAGTTTCTAGACAATTGTTCAAGTTGTTTATTGATTATTAACTATGAAAGACTTTTATAACCAACCTCATTAATGATATTAATTTAAACATCTTAGAACTTTAAATATTTTCCAATAGATGAATCCCAATTTTGAATGAGCGTGTGTTTGTGGAGGGAAGTGAAATTTTATTTCGTTGATCAAAATATATTTGAGAATATTTTTATGTGAAATTAAGTTTTGTAAAAATAAGAAAAATAATTTCATTAAATTGAATATTTGTGTTCATCAAACTTAATTATATGATATGTAATTAACAAACTTTCATTTCATCGAACACCATACTAATATTGACAAATTTGATTTCCTCACATTGATAAACTATTCATTGAGAAGTAAATCATTAATTAAAAAATTGTTGTAACATAACAACATAGATTATATCGATAAACTAATCACAAAGACCTAACCACTTTGAAATTTGGTAAAAACAAAATTTATACCCCAATAGTTATAAAATTGTTATTCTGGATCGATTTTCCTCCTCTTTTGGAGGGTAGTATCATACATATATGCGAAGATCATCCAAGGCACTAAATTCACCCAAAAAATCCATAATTATCAATACGGGGACCCCCAATTTATGTGAAACATCACTTTTCTACCCTCCAAAATTTTCACCAGGTCCCCCTTAAAACTATTCTTCATCAGTTTCATTCTCAATTTCTTCTTTGACTTTTTCCTCAACTCCATTTGATGAATTCGAATTCTTAGGAACATCCATTAATGATTTTTGTTTAGATTCATCATTCAAACAAGATTCTTGATCAGATATTTGAGAAATTTGGCCTTCTTTTGCATTTTTGGCCATAACTTGTTCTTCAAAATCAAGGTTCTTGGACTTGTAACTTTCAGAAGCTTCATCAGCAGTATTGAAAGTACCTAACCAAATCAGTTTCTTGTTAAATGGGTGTTTGATTTCAGCACAAAATTTCCCATTTTTTCTCTTTCGAACTCCAACAGGATACAATCTAACAGAAGAATTTTTTGATGTTCTTTTGTATGATTTCATGATCAAATATATTAGTGAAAAAAAAAGACTATTTATGTAAAATAAAGTAAAAAAGAAAATTAAAATGTGAAGAAATGAAGGCTAAATTGTGAATATTTATAAGACCATTTTCCTATTCATTTTACGAAAAAGATTTAACAAAAACATGTTTTATAAAAGAAAAAGGAAATTAGTTAAATTCACCGTGTAAATATTATTGGTCCTCTATTTTACTCTCTAGATATGAAATTTATTAATGTCCATATTAAGATCTCCCACTTTTGGTAGAATTACGAAATTTAGTCTAAATATCAAATATCACACATCATTATATCGTGTGAAAATAAAAGTATTATACTATCATAATATGTATAGTGTAATTGTAAATAAATTTCTATAATAGGTGTATATAATTAGATCCTAATTTATTTATTTTCCACTTATTATTTGATAATAGTTTTGGGATCTCAATTATTCTGTACTTGCATTGTGTCTAATTATTCATGTACGAGTTAATGTTTTAGATTGAAAAAACTTACTATAAGTCGTCCACGGTTACGAATTTATCAACATTTTTTGAGTGGAACAAATTACCATAACTCTTCCACGTCTACAAATTATTCATAAAATAGTTATAGTCAAATTCAGAGTTCTATAGTATCATTAATAATATTAATTTAATAAAATATATCTAATTAAATATTTTTTAAAATTGTGTCAGTAAGATTAGTCAAATAATATGAAACGAAGGGACTACAAAATTATATTGTGGAGAATCTTTCAATCTTTTATTGGTTATTAACTACCCCTATGTGAATATCAAATATCGGGTGGGAAATCAAACATCCCCATATATATATATACATGGAGATGTTAAATGATTCATAATATTTTAACATATCGTTCTTCTAATAGGATGAAGAAATGTTGGATTTTTATTTTATACTTTTGGCGTAATGACCTGAGAGGCCTTTGTACTTTACTCCGTTTGTAAGTTGGACCCTTGTACTTTCGACTTTGACAATTGCACCCTTAAACTCGCTGAACATAAAATTTTAAACACCTCTGACCATTGACCAAAAACATGTGCCACCAATATTTCTCACTTGGAATATTGTGTGATTCCACACGTTTTTGTAATGACCCTCCCTGTCATTTTCTTTGTTTACCGACCTTTTCAGCTTTTAGAGCTTTCCTGTAGAAACCACAAGTCACTTATACTTCATGGGACTGACAGTTTATTCAATGGGTCATTTATTTGGATTTTATGAAAGTTTTTGTATTTTGGAGACTTTAAAACTTGAACGGTTGACTCCAGTCAAAAGTTCAGGAAGACGGCCTCAGAATTCAATTTTGATAGTTTTATCAGTTCTGGAAGGGCTATTTTAAGTGAGGGGCATGGTTTGTTTGGGACCCGAGACTTCTGGTATGAGTTTGTGATGTTAGGCGTTTTAACTTTGAAACTTACGCCAAGGGTTGACTTTGGACAACATTCTTGGTAAACAAGCTCAAATGAGATTTTCGTCAGCACGGTTAGCTTCGAAATGTCTTGTTTTGTGTAGAACAACCTTTTGTGCGGTTCCCTATGCTTTCGATCTCGTTTTTAGCCTTCTTGTGGTTTTTAGCTTAAAATTGAACTTAGGTGTGGGGCCCATGTTTCATCGAAACTACCTCGGATGGAAGTTTTGATGGTTCTGTTGAGTCTTGAATGTTGAATTTGATAGGGTAGCATATTTCTTTTGCGCATACCGGGTTTTAAACGAAGCCGAGACACCCCGTCGAAGAATTTGGAGTTTGAGCAAACCAGCTGAAGTGTTGATATCTGGTGCAGGATTTTAGCGACCACATATCAGACTTAAGCGACCAAATTTTTCTTTTAGCGACCAAATTCGGCTTAGCCCTTATTCTTACAAATGCAATTTCTTGAGCTTGGGAGTTCCAATTGAGGTGATTCAAAGTGCTGGAGATCCGTGTTGATCATGGCTATATGTTGGAATGTTCGGGAAGTGTTTGGGGCTCTCCATTTGAGGTATTTTCCTTCCCAAAGGGGATGCAAGATCTCTTTTGATTTTCTTTAATTTGTGTTTTATTTCATGTGGTGGTTTGGGCTCTTTCAGGCATGAAAGTGAGCCCCGTAGGGCACAAGCTCGTTTAGTCAATTAGGACCTTTTGACGGAGTCAATTTTGGGATTCTTGGCGTTGGTCCCACATTCACATTTTAACTCAATTTTGGGTTCATTTCCAATTGTTGCGATTTTAGTGTCATACATCTATAATGATGTTGTGATTGATAATTCGATAGTTTTATTGTATTTGGAGACGTTTTGTATGTGGATTCGGAGCACTCGTGTTGGCTTTGAGGTAGGTTTTGGTCTACTTTCTTGATTGAGCTTCTTAGATAATGCTTAGTATAGATTTCATATAATTTTGGATGGTATTTGTTGGACATTTAGCTTTCCTCTTATTATTACACCCTTTCTTGATTCCGTAGGAGCCTTAGGCTTATTGTGGGTGTTGGGATCCTTATAGATTTGATTATTCTAGAGATGATTGACTTTGATGTAATCATTGGTATGACTTGGCTTTCTCCAAATTTTTCTATCTTACATTGCAATGCTAAGACTGTGATCTTGGACAAGCCTGGGATAGATCCACTAGTGTGGGAGGGTGACTATATTCCCGCCCCGGTTTGGATTATCTCTTTTATTCGTGCTAAGAGGTTGGTGAATAAGGATTGTTCAGCTTTCTTGACACATCTCAGGAATGATACTTCCAAAGTGCCTTCGATTGAATCTGTTTCGATAATGTGTGATTTTATCGATGTTTTCCCTGCAAACCTGCCTGGTATTTCACCAAACAGGGATATTGATTAGGAGTTGGGGACTCGCCCCCATCTCCATTCCTCCTTATAAAATGGCCCCAACTAAGTTGAAGGAGTTGAAGGCCCAACTTTAAGATTTGTTAGGTAAAGATTTTGGTAGACCAAGAGCCTCTCCATGGGGTGCTTCGATTTTATTTGTAAAGATGAAGGATGGTAGTTTCTGGATGTGCATAGACTATAGACAGCTGAACAAGATGACTAGTAAGAACAACTACCCCATTCTTCGCATTGATGACTTGTTTGATCAACTATAGGGCGCTTGTGTTTTTTCTAAAATTGATTTAAGGTTTGGTTATCATCAATTGAAAATGCGGGAATCGGATGTGCCAAAGACTGCTTTTCAAACAAGGTATGGGCATTATGAGTTCTTAGTAATGTCTTTTGGGCTCACAAATGCCCCTGCCTCTTTCATGAGCCTGATGAATGATATTTTTAAGCCACATCTGGATCTCTTTGTTATTGTATTCATTAATGATATACCGATCTACTCGAAAAGCAAGAAGGAACATAAGGAGCATTTGAGAATGGTATTGGGATTGTTAAAGGAGAAAATGCTTTATGCAAAATTCTCCAAATGTGAGTTCAGGCTTATTTAAATGTCATTTTGGGGCACATGGTTTTTAAGAATGGAGTGATGGTGGATCCCAGAAGATTGAAGCAGTGAAAGTTAGGCAAGGCCCACTAATGTTTCAGAGGTAAGGAGTTTTGTTGGTTTAGCTAGTTACTATTGTCGGTTCGTCAAGGGATTTTCTTCCATTGCTACCTAGCTGACCAATTTGACCAAGCAGAATGTTCCATTTGTATGGTCGGACGAGTGTGAAGAGATTTTTCTGAAACTCAAGACCAAGTTGACTGCTGCATCAATTCTTGCCTTGCCTGTGGAAGGTAAGAATTTCATTAATTATTGTGAAGCATCTTATTCTGGTTTAGGTGTAGTGCTAATGAAGGAGAGGAATATATATATATATATGCATATGCTTCAAGGCAATTGAAAGTGCATGAATGTAACTACCCAACCCATGATTTGGAATTGGATGTGGTTGTATTTGCATTAAACTGGAGGCATTATCTATATGGGGTCGAGTGTGAAGTATATATAGATCATCGCAATTTACAATATGTGTTCACTTAGAAAGACTTGAATTTGAGACAGAGGAGGTGGATGGAGTTGCTGAAAGACTATAATGCTACTGCTATGTATCACTTGGGAAAAAAACTAATGTTTTAGTTAATGCCCTGAGTAGAATAACAGAGAGCATGGCAAGTTCAAACTCTGGCTAATGACTTTATGAGGCTATAAGTAACTCAGAGAGGAGAATTCTCAACCTGTGTGGAGGCAAGATCTTCTTTTCTTGATAAGATTAAAGGAAAGTAGTTTGATGATGAGAAGCTGAGCCGAATTCATGATATGGTATTGCAAGGAGAGGCTAATGAGGCAATGATTGATGAGGAAGACATCTTGAGGATTAAGGGGCAGGTATGTGTGCCACATGTTGATGATTTGACTCAGACTATTCTTGTAAAGGCTCTTAGTTCGAGGTATTTTATACATCCTGGTGCGACCAATATGTATCGTGATTTGAGACAACATTATTGGTGGAGTAGAATGAAGCGTGACATTGTTGATTTTGTTGCCCAATGTCTGAAATGTCAGCAGGTAAAGTATGAGCACTAGAGACCTGGAGCGACACTTTAGAGAATGCCCATTCCCGAATGGAAGTGGGAAAGAATTGCAATGGACTTTATAGTTGGTCTTCCAAAGACATTAGGTAAGTTTGATTCTATATGGATAATTGTTGATAGGTTAACTAAATCTGCACACTTTATTACGGTCAAGGTGACATATAATGCAGAGAAGTTAGACAAATTTTATATCTGTGAGGTTGTTTGATTGCATTGAGTTCCAATTTCCATTATATCAGATAAAGGTACGCAAATTACTTCTAATTTTGGAGGACCTTGCAGGCTGAGTTAAGTACTAGATTGGATCTTAGTACCGTATTTCACCCTCAAATCGATGGGCATTCTGAGTGAACAATTCAAATGCTGGAGGATATGCTTCGTGCGTGCGTGATAGATTTTCGTGGTCATTGGGATCAGTTCTTACCTTTGGCGGATTTTTCATAAAATAATAGTTATC